GTACGTTTGGCTTAGGTATATAAAAATGTGTTGGCTATTCGTTAAACAAACGGGATTAAACGCAATAATTATATTATCCCGAAAAGCTCGAATGGTCAATGTGGCAAAAACGTAATTTGCAAGGTTGTGTTAACGTCATTAATCGTATAATATACATGTCGTGTAGGTATATTATACATATACCTATTATATTCTTGGCCTTTTTTTTCCCCGCCCACAAAAGTAATGAATACATTACACGGGGCACGACATGGAAAGATTTAATGTGTCACAATATTTCCTAGCACGGAATGCGAATTAAATAACTCAACCGGGACAAAAAATTATAATAAACAATAATAATAATGATTTTTCACTCGACCGAATACCACCCTCAATGGTATTTCTACGTCGATTATAATATAAACGTTTACAGGTTCTTCGCAACCTCTGTGCTATGGAAATTAACCTTAGAGGACGATATGTTTATTTTTTCAAAAAAATAAATTTAAAAAAAACATCAAGCATACTACTGCGTTAGTGGGAACAGATTACGCAGGGCAAGATGGAGTACGTTTGAGTCGTTTTCACTGTGCTGAAAGTATCGAGAAAAAAAAGTCATATGGTCACAGTGTTTGATGTATTGTGTCGAGTTGTCAGCGGACTCTGACCGACTATAACATGATAAAGAATTATAAAAAAGTCATAGATTCGATTGCTTAGCTTAGATGCGGAGCTGAGAAGGTATTGTTCTTACATTGATGTTTTTCAACGTGGATATGTTATTGGGCTGGATATAAAAAAATTAATGTCGCCATTTTCGCGTTACACTTTCACTTTGAGATAAGAGATTAGTGATAAATGATAAGAGATAACATATCCATGATTAAATGTTTTTCCAACTTGTGTTACATGACTTATGTAGTAATACTTCATACTCGACACGTTTTTGTAATGTAATCACTAAATATCACCTATCGGGAATCTATTTAATTAACAAAAATTGTCTTAGTTTTAATAAAAATTGAAGTCTTAATATTTAATGTAGTCGTTAATATAAATCAACAAAACGACGAACGAAATTGGTTTCCCACGATTGGCATGATTGCTTTGGTGGTAATATAAGAAAATAATGACATAAGGTTATCCAAATAATACCGAATATAAAAAAAAAATAATTAATAATAATTAATATAAAAAACCACAACAACAATCAGTAAACTTACAATATTATAGTTAATATTGGGCAATTGTATATTTTATTGTGTCGGATCGGCGAGCGTTTGATGTCGAGTAACACATTTTTTTTCTTATTTAATTTGTAAAAAAAAAATAATAATAATAACTTCCGTTCGAGAGGTTTTTTTCAAATCGTTAACAAAATAATAGCCTCTCAGATCCGCGTCGAAGCTAAAATATTATATTTGTTCGCCAAAGAAGTCCGTTGGTACGGTGAGAAATACTTAGGCGTGTCGCACCAACACTGTTTGCCGTCTTAACGTCCCCTCGGCCGCATACAGGGTCACCGGCCTTTGGCCCCCACTTCTACAGAGCGATCGCCTCGTCTACCTGTCGCCAAACACAGCCGCCCTGCATGCACAATAATAATAATAATAATAATATGTCAATACACTAGTACTGTCATAGACTCGATTGCTTAGCTTAGATACGGAGCTGAGAAGGTATTGTTTTTACATTGATGTGTTTCAACGTGGATATGTTATTGGACTGAATATAAAAAAAAAATAATGTCGCCATTTTCGCGTTACACTTTCTCTTTGAGATAAGAGATTAGTGATAAATGATAAGAGATAACATATCCACGATTAAATGTTTTTCCAACTTGTGTTTCATGACGTTGTAGTGATACTTCATACTTGACACGTTTTTGTAATGTTAACACTAAATATCAAATAATTCTACTAATAATATCTACTTTATCAAATTGCCATTATTGTTTAAGGCATTCGGTATAAGCGAAATCTTAAATTACAGCTAAAATATATTCCTAAATTTATTGGAACAGTATAGTGAATACTATTAATAAGTAATAACACAATAATAATATCGCAATATCGCATAAACAATTGTTTTTTTAACCGTTCAAATGGACAAAACATTTTTTATGAGTATGCATATTTGTTTACTAAAAAAATTAATTGATGAAATATTTTATTTTACAAACTATATTCGGTTCAATGTACTCAGTTTTGTCTTCCATGGACTTTATAGAAGACAAATTGATAGAAATGTAATTATATCAATACTTAATTTTTTTTTTTTTTTATTGGAAAAAATATACAATCTGTATAATACAATATTCGCACAAAAGGAATATAGTATAGTTAATATAAACAATTAGTAGTGTATCACTTGTTTGAAGAATCCACCCAGTGATGGTACTCCAATGGCTGGAAGAACTTAAATTTTAAATAATAATACAAATCTATTAATTCATTAATTAAAAAACAACTTCGTTGCAAAAGTCGTTTGGACTTGAAAAAAAGTGTCATACATAAAATACTACTTACTTGGTACAGTTTTGTAGTAGGTTAGGCTTAGGTTGTTGGTTATAGCTGATAACAAAATAAAGCCATATTGGTTATTGATCGTTTGCTTTTTTCGTTTCGATTAAAAATTACAGTAACACAAACAAATGTTTAAAAAAAAAGGAATTTTAGTCAATTCCACTGGACCTTATCAGAAGCTGTAAGTAAGCTCAGTGATATTTTTTTTGGTTTTCAAACGATAAATAGTAAAACGTTTATTTAGTTTGTAAAGTTTTTAATTTTAATTTTTCTGAAGTATTACAAAAATTAAATAAGGAGTTTCTCTACTCACTTAGGAGAGTTAAAACTTGGCTTCGTTCCAGGATGACTGACAAGATAGACTTGCAGCATTATGTCTTATTTAATGTGTACAACTAAGTGGATGTTGCAGATCAAATAGATCATATTATTGATGTTTTTGGTAAAACTAAACACACTGTATGCGCACATTTTACATAGTAATATTGTACTCGTGTTTTGGTTTATGACCTTTTTGAAATTAGTAAACACTGGTGCTTGAAAAATGTGTACATTAAGTCAAGTTGAACCGTATAATTAGCCGCTTGTTAACACTACGGACGAGATGACTTAATCGCTAAAAACGGCTTTCTAAGACTTATTAACACTAACTTTTAATGTTCTTAGTTAATACCTATTATTATACATATATTTTTTTTGTTGTTGTTCATAGTATGCGTTAACCGATAGCATCTGGCACGTTCTTTGTTCACGACCAAGTTGTAAAAACCGTATAGCTTTCGCCACTTTAAGTTTCATAAGCTACTCAGACGAATAATATTACCTATTCAAAAAAGTTTCCCACTTACACTTTGCTTCTGAGCGCACATTAATATTGGCACGACCGAACATTCTCAACAATCAACATTTTTTGTTAGCAGAGAATAGTTAATTGATTAAATTCGTGAACTGTATATAAAATTCACCAAGGTCTAATAAGCCATAATCAAACAGTCAAACTATCACAAATAGAACAAAAATTCTAATCCAATTATTGCCCAACTTCGGCACAAAAAGTACATTAACTATTTAGTCATGGCGACTAAGGCTTATAGAAATCATAGTCAACACTCAGTTGGCCAATCAGAGTTACTTGAAAAGATAAATAATTATGTGTTAATGTAAAAAACAAACATATACAGGGTGTCCACAATTTCACGTTAACTGTAACGTGAAATTTTTAATAACGTGACGTTTTTCTATGAAATAATAGTTTTAGCTGAAATAGTTTCAGAAAAAAAACTTCCTTATTATATTTAATATTCAAATCTTACAATTTCTATGCTAATAATTAAAATAATATTTATTCAAAACTGGTTAGGTTTAAATAGACTAATCAAATAGTTGTATGTCACCAGTCGATTTTTAAAAGTTACCTTTTAACATTAACAGTTATTTAAACATTAACTTTTAGAAAAATATTTGCTCACTGTAACATTTCGTTTTTCCAAAATATCATTAAAATAAGTACGTTAATTTCCTGTTAATTTGTTTAAAGGTTATGATACTATTTGCGCTTAAGGCTCTTCCTGGAGAATTTCCAGGAATGTATAGAGACTATTTTTTTTTAATAGGTAAGTAAACTTGAATGGGGTTGTAGTCGGTCACGAAAACGTTCATAATAGGAGTAACACCTCTTCGTGCACAGTCTTTATTCTAATGTGTGTAATATTAGAGATGTGGGAAAGTGCATATGTTCATTTTCTAAGGGTAATATTTTTAAATGATTAACGTTCGTTCAAGTCGGATTTCTTTGCACTTCGAAAGTGATGTTATGAACTATTTAAATATATTTTATTATTATTTTTAAGCAATTAATTCAAAAAGTATGAAAATTTAGGTGAAAAAAAGGTGTTTTAAAGCTTTGTAATGAATAAACTGTATCAGTTCTTAAACTCTTCACTGCAAGACTCTAAATAACAAAATCCGTTTTTCGTGGCTAAAGAAAAGAGTAGTTAAAATCGACAATTCGTTTAATTGTAAAAAAAATTGAATAGGTATAATTTACTTTTAAATTCATATTATGTATCTTCTCGACAAACTCTTTCTATTCGATCTCCGAGTCAATTACTTTCTATCTCTTATAGTTTCAATAAAACTAAGCGTTCACGAGATGTAACACACAGAATTTCGAGCCAGTTAGGCTCTTATGAGTGTCTTGTCCAGCATACTTGGACGCGTTCGTCTAATCGAACGAGATCAATATATACAACAATACACATCTCGATATGGTTCGGCGGGCAACTACTATGCTGTACCCGCTGACTCGTACAGTGTGTATTTTATATATTATAGAGGTATAAGATTATAAGTAAGACTTGTGTGCGTATCTCTCTGCCCACAGTACCGTGCGCTGTCCGGCTCGTCCGGCCGGGGGGAGATGGACATTGTATACGGGTATAATAAGCCAATAGGTATGATGTACAATAATAATAGTAATATAATGGCAGTGGTGCGGATGTCGTCGAGAACGCGTTTTTAAACACTATCGCGTTTTTTTCCCGGCCTATAAAAATATAATATAACAATACCGGCTATAATATTTATCTTGGACGATCGGACTGGCAAAAAAAAAAAAAAATTCTACAATAACAATATCATCCGACATTCGACCAATTATCATTGCTATTATAATATGTTATATAGTTGGGCCTCTATTATATAGCAGTAGGTGCCTACCGATTCGATTTCGGTCGGTAATTTGCATTTTTTTTTTCCCCCGAGTCCTTGACACTTGATCGTTTCCGTCCACAATTTCATACACACAGACAGACATCATATAGGTGTATTATTTTATATTAGAAAATATTATATTGTCGGCCGACAGTGTGTGGTGTGTGTGTGCTCTGACCGGCCGTTTGCCCGTAAAATGCGTTTGTCCGTTAACGTGCCGCCTCCGAAATGACTCCGTACTCGCCCATCAACACCATCCTGAACCAAGTGAGTCAAGTTTCTTTTTTTTATTTAGAGAAAGTATGAAAACATGTATTATTACAAACGGCTATACTTACTGCCGCCGTGCTTGTTAGAAGCAATGTCTGCACTTTGCTCGGGCAGATCGGATGGGATAAGTGGTTTCCTCTTGTTAATCTACCCTGGAAAACTGTAGCCAACCCCACAAGAAGAGAGCCGAAATCTCTAAAATCGCATTTTTGTTTTGGTTAAGATATTATCCAATAATTATCATTGGCGCAATTTCAACGGGTGCTAGCTATACTCAAAACTCTACTAGTTTCAATATTAGTAATAGTTTTTTAATTAATCATAAATCTCCCAATATATATCTAAAAATTTAAGCGTTTTTGACTTTTTTAACATGATATTGTTTGTGTTTGTATTATATTTGTATACCGAGGCAGGTAGGCTTGCAAAAAAAATTGTAAAATAACGCTTTAAAATTAATTATTTGGGAACAGTTTCGAATATAACGTTGAATTTCCTCAAAACTATGTTTTATGAGTCGTGGCAATCTTGCACCAAAGGCCAAAGCTATTTTTCTCACATTAGGCAAGACCAGGGCCGGATAGATAATGTTTTTGTTAAAGGAAAATATTTTTTAAAAGAGCCACTCAAACTGATAGGGAAAAAAAACGTTTTTCTCAGTACAAAAATTTGTTATCAATACACTTTATTAAATGTTTCATGCCCTCGTAATCGTTTAAACCGTCTAACAAGTCTTGTGACAAGTTAGTTAAGTGTTATTTCGCATACTTATTTTGGTTTCAAACTTGCAGCTTCTTAGTGTCACCGAAAAAATAGCGGTAACGAATAGGGTTGATCGGTTGTCTGAAGTCTTTAAACTACATAAAAAAAATAAAAATAAAAAAAAAAAGTCTTTACCCATTCTAGAGGAATGAGTTACAACAAAACAATACTTTCTCATCTACGCAACGGAGCTAAAATTTAAGTGTGAAATGATAACTTAAGTACCTAATTAGGTACTAACTAAAAACGGTTAATGGTATTTAACGACAAATTACAATTAGTTTATACAAAACATATATTTAAACGGAAATTTTATTTTCATTTAATCTTCTAAAAGTAAATGTCTCGACGAGTTTATTTTTTGTATTCTAATATTATTCATAGTATACTAAAAAATGCTTGGAAAATGATCAAAACGTACAGAAAATGCTAAAAAATATATTCATTTATTAAAATATTGTTTCTTACAACTTTGGAGGCGATTTTAAAAATCAGCTAGAGAAAACATCCTTGTGACAATCTAGCAGAGTAAAACATACTTACCCAGAAATATAAGACGTATTTCTAATCTTATTTTAACGTGGTTTTGTTCTGTATAAATATATTATAATAATAATAAGATACATCGGTTTCCACTCTCCCTACATTAAAAACCTAAATAGCCACCCCTGTTATCGATATTTAATAGTTATTGTTATATTCTATTTTATCGATCATTATTATATAGTTTTGCAAGTTATTTATTTTAGTTTTAAAAATAATTTTATAGTTCAGACGATAACTGTTATTAACGGATTAAAAATTACCCAAGGGCGTAGGGTCGACTGGGACACCCGTTTAGGTAGGGGTACACGGCGTTCACGTTCCCCCTGCAATATGGGGATACGAGAATCGGGAGGATCCAGGAATTTGTCATTGCCAGACCCAAAAGGGATGTTACTAGGATTTGCGCCGGGCTATAAAGGCGACGGAGGGCTGCTGAAACGGACGTTTGTATAATAATAATAATAATACTTACAGGGCAGAAGGATATGTTGTTCCCCGGCGCAACAACGTCTATCCCCGGGGGGGCGAATGCGCAAGACCGGCTTAGGCCGACCGTGCACGAGCTTAGCCTGCGGAATTGCATTGCATTATCCTTCCCCTGCCCGGCACCGTCCTTCCTCCTTCGGTCGCACCCCCGGATGCATTCAGTCGATACAATACACGACATTATATTATGTGTCTACTGTGTACGACGACACAATATTACATACACGTGGTATATTGAGCTCCGTAGGATTTACAAAAACGAATTACCGACTACCTACATAATATTGTATTGTGTGTCATGGATGCAATTAAGTTTTGAGCAAAACCACTTGGACATTATTATGTTGTGACAGTCCGAACAAAATGAAAAAAAAAATTTACAAACCAATTAGTTGAAAAAGACGGGGTTCGAAGTAACGGGCACCAATGACGATGGCAAAAAAATTAGCAAACTTTAAACTTCACACTTTGAGTAACAAATAAAAGAACAATTTAAGCAAAAACAATATTAACAACATATTTTTATGATAAAACAGATAAGTCCGGTTGCACCAAGCTTGTAACAAACTAACTTTTGTTAAACTTTATCTTTTTGATAAAATGTGTTGCTCAATCGTTGTTTTTATATTCAGGTTATTACCAGTATACTGGTTGTCGAATAAGTGGTCTCAGCCGTAAGAGTTAATATTATTATCATACAGGGTCTAATCAATGATAAACTGATAACGCACATTTACATTATCATCACTTAATGCAAAACATTAATAACGAAATTTAACTATACATAGATTTTTATACAGCCATAAATGACCCTGTTATTTAACTCGTAATAAAGTACATTTTTAATAACAGATAAAATTTAAAACAAGGTTTATGCAACAGAATTTCTTTTAACTCCAGTTGAACGAGTTTATTCTCTATGTAAATAATTGGTGTAACCCGACAACAGTATTTTACTTTTTAAAGTTTTCTCTACAGTTATTACGCGTTTTTATAGAATATTACTTAAAATCATAAATTTTTCGTTTAATATATGACATTAAATTTAATGAAAAAAGTATGATTTCGAAAAAAACATGCTGTAAAGCGAGTAAATTATGAAAAACAACTAAAAACTCTAAATCTTTTAAACAATTAATAATGAAAAAAAAAAATCATGCAGTAAAGGGTTAAGTACAGGATGGTCATTTTATCGTGAGCCCCTCAATATGTTACTATTTAAGTTTCAAAAGTTGCTATAAAAAAAAACCTAAGTTTGGATGGGAAAAAAACAAAAAAAATTGAGATCACATTGTATAAAAACTGTATGAAAAAAAAATTAGATTTCTTATTAAAAAACACCATAAACGTTTAGATTTTTTTTTCTACTTCTTTATCTTCGCCTTACACTCCCAACTACATGGGGTCGGCCACCCCAGTCCTGCACCTCTATAGAGCTGGATCTTCTACATCTCATTTAACGTTTACATTTTTTTTTTTTTTTTGAATACCTCATACTATGGCGGCGCTAAAAAATGTTACAGAGAAACCATCAACCCTCATCGTATCTACCCTAATACTAAAAACACACACATTTTCCAGCACATTATTGTCTTAACAATGCTCGCGTCGAAGCGTTTATTTGAAAATTATTTCATTACTCTCAGTCACAATAATTCCAACAGTCGCGTTACTGTCACCCCATTATGTTCCATCTCCACGAAAAATATTTTAAAGTTTTTTTAATGCCCGGCTCAAGCCAACCGTTAAACGCGTTTTGATTTATCATTAAGCCTTTAATGGACGAACCGGCATAGTTAAGACCGGCTCTGGCCCGTTATATTGGTAAAATACAATAATTCTACTGCAAGCTCGAGTCGGAAATGGTTATATTAAATGTATTAAAACGTACAACGCACACCTGCTGCTTGTTTTTCGAGTAGAAAATTTAATAATGTGTACATTCGATTCCTTCCCCCCCCCCTTGGAATATTCTATATTAAGTAATAACTGAAGTTTTCCACCTGAAAAGAAGTTTGTTTTGTCGAAATAAGTAAATATAATAATGTCGTTGGCCAAACATTTTTCCAATTATTCTTCCACTCTCTTGTTGGCATGTTGTTTACATTGTTCAACCTTGTTTGAAAATGTATTGATTTTTTTTAAATTTTTTTTTGTACATCACATCCATTTCTCGGTCATAAAACCAATGACAATACTATGTTGTCGAAAATTCCAATCACAGTGTACGACTTGCGCTAATTGCATTTGACCGAATATAAAATTTGTATGAACGATTATCCGACATGTGTTAATATGTACTAATTGGCCGTATCCATTGACTGATAATAACATAAGAGTGTGTAAATAATTACCTATACAGTTTGTACTTGTCCTAATCAAATTCATTACCACCGCTGAACACTTTTGTATAATTTAACATATTAATTATTGCTATGGCGGTTCGGAATCCGGTCACTAGACTACACGACATATTGTTACAAAAGTGATGGACTTATTCTAGTTTTAATAGAGATAAAAAATATATATGTGTCATACTTAACATTGCTTTTTCCTTTGTTGACTATTGAAAATCTATTGAAAAAATTGACAAATCGAATGTAAGTATTTCAAATCATGTGAGGTTTTTGGCACTTGCAAACTGCTCTGATTTAACCTAACTCGACAAAGAGAATTCGAAGCGGTTTGTTTTGATTGCTGTCAAATTTTCGACTAATCAAAATAGTTTGGTATTTATTTTGTACAAAGGTACGATTTCGTTGGTCTTTGATCAGTATATTTTGTCAAAAACCGATTAGGTATTTCCTTTTTTTGTTTTTTTTTTTGAGGTACCAAAGTTTTATTTGTGATTAAAACATTTTTTTTAATGTAAAAATATTTTAATTTTATTTTATCCACAGAAAATCAAATTTAAGCAAATATTATAAATTATTTAAATACTCTAATTTCTGCAGCAAAACTACTACATTGATTTTATAGCATAATTCGAATACAGATAAGAATATTAAAAAAAACAGATTTTGTTAAATTTATACTTAACCTTTAATTAGGCAACGGTCGAAAATTTAATTTTTCAATGTAGTTTGCAAAATAAAATACTTAAAACTTTTTAGTTCAAAAACATTTTTGTTATTATCAGTGGTTATGTTTTCATGGGAGTACAATAGGGCAAAGAAGGTATATAGAAGGTAAAGGAGATAAGA